CACTCACCCTAGGGCTCCCCATGGCATGTGTCAACTATCAATGAGCATTTGATAGTTGTCATAATAAAGGCAGATATCTATCTGGCTGTGAAGGGGCCACAAAAGCCAACCAAGGACAAGGCCATGTCTATGGGGAAAAGTATGTTTGGATGGAGAAGGTCAAAGGTCAAGGAAGTCAGGGTTAGGTTAGGACCTGAGAAGTTGTGAGCTGAAGCTCATAAGATTTTTCCAAGGCCAGCAATAGATCCAGGCAGGATTCAAACCAAGGTCTCCTAAGCCCCAGACCAGTGTGTGTTCACTCCTTCTGTTACCCGTGGTGTGGCCCAAGGTTCACTGGCATGTTATTGTTTGCCATCTGTCTCCTCCACAGGAATGAAAGCCCCATAAGAGCAGACACTATGTCAGCTTTGTCACCGCAGCACCTAGAACACTGCCTGGCTCATCAAATAGAATAGAATCAAACAGATGGAATGGAATAGAACGGGTCACATGGATGGAATATGGGGAATGCATGGAATAGAATGAAATTGATGGAATGGAATGAATGGAAAGGGATGGAATGGAATGAAGTTAGCAGAACTGGGACTAGGATTCTGGCGTCCTAATTCCCATTTAATGGTACAAGCAAAAGGGAATCCTTTTGGGAAAACTCCCTCTCTCCTGCCTTCCCTCCTGTGGAATGTGTCACCTCTTTCTCCACTTTCCGTGTGTCCAGCCAACTCATCTCTCTCCCCAACCAAGTGAGGAGAGGCCCTCCAGGACGGGCAGGGTGCCGGGAAGCAGGGTTAGCTAGTTCTGTGCTGTGGGGATGGAGGACAGACAGCTCAAGTCCACGTCCTTGGTAAGAGCAGCTTTGAAAAGTGAAAGGCAGTTGGTGTGACGGTTTGTTTTACTTGTGAACTTGGCTGGGCCACAGGACGTTCAGATATCTTGTTAAACATTATTTCTGGGTGTTGCGATGAAGGTGTTTCTACATGAGATTACCATTTGAATCAGCAGACTGCACACCCTTTGGGTTTTCAGGCCTTCAGGCTCAGACTGGAAATATGTCACCAGCTGGCCTGGGTCTCCAGCTCGCAGGTGGCATGTCATGGGACTTCTCAGCCTCCACAATCACATGAGCCAATTCCTCATATCTTTTTTACATTTACACAATTATGCTCTATATATTTTATGGATATAAAGATGTATATTTCACTTATATATTAGGATATATGTCTTCTATTGGTTCTGTTTCTCTGGAGAACCCTGATACAGTTGTTTAGCCACAGGTGGAGAAGTAGAGCCTAACCCAAGCTGACTCTCCAGCCACAGTGGTCAAGAGAGACCGAGGGAAGACTTGAGGAGTGGAGCCCAGGGCCATTCCCTGAGCCAGTGCTACACAGATTGTCAAGGGGTCCCAAGCATGCTGTAGGTGGGGAGTCCCGTGAGGGTCCTGGGCAGGTACTGTGCCACCTCTACCACCTCTTCAAGGCACACGTGGGAGTCATGGCCAATCCATCAATCCCACAACAGTTAATAGACAACTTTGAAGAAACTTAAGCCTTGGACTTAGACTTTGAAGGAGTTGAGTGAGGATCGGGGACATTTTGTAGCAACCACTGTAACAACCCCACGTAATTCCCTGCACTGGTGTAGCAAGACGCACTGACACCTTGGACTACTCAGTTCTCTCCTACGTTGTTCGGATCCCTGTCCACGTCCCTTCCTGCTCCATCCTGGCCTGCCCTGCCCCAATCCACAGTTGCCATTCACAAACTATTAACCCTTTATTATCATAAGCCTGTTCCCCTTGCACAGCCAGGCTTGTCACGTCCTCATATTGACTCTGGCCAGTAACGAATTCAGACAGCACTTTTGAATTCCACCATGTGGGCACAAGCCCATTTTGCAGTCTCCCCATCCTACTGCCTCGTGGCAGCTGCTGGGACTGCCTGCCAGGTTTGTGACCCCATGCCTTGACCCCAGGAACCTGTGTGCTCCTTGGTTTACTATCATGGGTCTTGCCTTGCATTGCCCCTAAATCCCTGCTCTATTCATCTCCCCCTATGCCCGCCTCCCCCAGCCCCGCCACCATCCCAGTCACTGAATCCCACATCACCCCAAGAAACCTTGTGACCTCTCACCGCTGCGTGTTCGCCAGACCCCTCTGCGCCCCTGGACTTCAGAGCACCCTGGCTGTGCTCCAGGTCCTGTCCCTCTAGCCACTTCCAGTGGCCACTGCATCGTGCTCCCAGCCTGGCCTCACCCCACAGCCCCAGTGCCCCGTCCAGTCTGCACAGTCCAATGCACAGTCTCCATCCACCATGGGATGGTGCCGGCCCTCTCCTTGCCTCGCCTGGGGCCAGGCAACTGGCACTCCTAGCCCACTGCTGGGCAGGCCGGGTGGGAGAAAAGGAGCCAGCAAACAATGGGCTGTTGACTACGAATTCCATTTCTCTTCCCACCTCCGGCTGTTTAAACAGTCGGAAGCCAGGCTTTGCTCACTATATGTGTGCACACACATTAGCTACGCCACCGCCTATCCTACTTATCCTCCGGAATTTGTTTCAAAGCCGCCTTTTGGAACCTCCTAAGTAGGATGTAATTCGGTGGATTTTGTGTTCTGCTCACTGTCTGGCAAAGTAGTTTATTCCACAAACCCCTGGCATATCGGGGAGGAAAGAGCATACATGAAAAACAGGGCTGCGCTCAGCCTGCACACCCCAAAATTGTCCCAGTCTAGGTTTCAGGAAGGCACCTCCTTGCCTAGACAGGGTCTGTGTGAAGTTTCTTGATGTCTGAATTTTTACATCCTCAACTTCAATAACTTGAGTTGTTAGTATGAAAGAAGCAGCCTGTAAACGGCATTTCAAAGCAAATTGGATTTCCTTCCCCCGGCTGCCACAGCCCTCGGTCCTGCTTGCCAGACGACGTGGTTTACTTCCCGTCTGCAGCAGCCATTTGTCATGTGTCAGGGGATCTGGAATAAAATTCCTTTGTGTACGACTGTCTAATAAAGAGGTTCTTAATGTTAATAATTTACCTCTAAATGCTATTTACACATTGTTTCCCTTACACCTTCAATCCGAGGTATTGCAGCCGAGAGGTGTGCGAGGATTTTCTGAAGATCCTAAATGTGTGTTCTGGAATAACATCTACATCAAACGCCCGCCTCTTTTAGATTCCAGCCCAGCGACTCTGCACGGCGGTGTTAAGGTGCATCAGGAAAGCTGTCTGCTCGCCAGGGAGGAAGCTTAAATCCTTGGGACCCGGGAAGGGGGAGGGCAGGAGGACGGGTGCGCAGCAGAGGGAGGAAGAGAACAGGACAGGGACGCTGGGATGCTCAGCGTTCCGCAGCATTCGGCATTCACAGAGGGACCCGTCGCGCCATCTCTGTACCCAGCTCTGTACCCAGCGGGAGGGTCCCACGTACAAATCCAAAGGCTTCTTCACCTTCAAGACCTTTCTGGAATGAGAATGGCACAAATTAACAAATTCATTGACAAACAAGAGACATAGTCACCTTCATGAGCAAGGCTGATGTGACTCCTGCCCTGGCACTCCTGTCCCCTGCAGCGGCGGGAGCCCCCCTCCGGCTCCCTGGGCCCCCCAGGCACATTTCTTTTAGACTGTCATCGTTGCCATGTGTGTGGGTCCCCATCAGACCTGGCAAGTCAAGGTCAAGGACTAATCTCTTCCTCGCTGTGACCTCAGGGTCTAGCCCAGAGCTTGTCACATAGAAAGCTCAGAATAAATAGTTGTTGAGTCAAGGAAAGGCCCAGTCCCTGCTACCAAGCTGCTCGCAGTTGAGCGCAGGAGACAGAAACAAATACAGGGTCACAATGTGGGGCCGTGTGCTCTATGAGTCGGCGCAGGCTGAGGATGCTGGGACAAGGGACCCCAAACCTCAGTGGCTTCCAACAGCAGAGGCCCAGTTCTCACCGGTGTCCGGGATGTCACAGGCTGGCCGTGACCCTCTGCGCCGCGCCCGCTTCACTGCAGGACCAGGGTGGAAGGAGCACGCAGGTCCCACGGCCAGGGAAAAAGAGAAAGAGCAGAGCAACATGGAAGGTTCTTGAAGAGTCTGCTTCAAAGTGGCACGTGTCACTTCCACTCACATTTCATCGTCCAAAGCATGTCACACAGCCCAGCCATCAGGAAGTATCCTCCACCCTCGGGATGGCCTGGTGGGGGGAGACAGCAAGCAGTGAGCTGCAGCGCAGGCAACCACGGACCACAGCGCCCGCGGCTGAGGGACAGTCCTGGGAGCTGGAGTTGCTTCGGGGGGCTCAGCGCTTCCGCCCAGCGAGGTGCGAGTGGGAATCTGCCACTCCTGCTGGACGTGGGTTTGTTCTAAAGCCCAAAAGTGAGGGCTCGGGTGATGGCTGACCGAGCTGGCCCCAACCCACCGGGAAGGGTCACCAGAGGCCCCGTGGAAGCCTGCACACTTCCCACATTCCCAAGCACGGAAGCAGCAGCGGCGGTGGCCCGGGCTGCCGGGAACTCTACCCAAAGGCCAGCTAGATGCTGGGGAGCCCCTGGCTTCATCCCAGCCTAAGGAGGCCCAGTCCCCAAGAGTGGGGGGCAGGCCTTTCCATGCCGTCATTGCGCCCTGGGAGGGTCCTCCTGTTCTGACGGGTCCGGAGCCCTCTCTCTGCAGACACGGGGGGTTGGGTGGGGACAGCTGTGGCTGGAATAAAGGGGAAGGGAGACAGAGACACAGACGCTGTGAATGACCTGTCTGGGAGACTGTGCTCACTCTCCCAGGCAACCGCATCCGCCTGTGCTAGAGATGTCAGCCTAGGGGGCTGACACTTGCACGCCCCTGTCCAGGGGGAAAGGGCCGGAGCAGAGCACCTGCTGCCCACACTGTGTGCTCTGCGCCAGGGACCTCTGGACCCTCCTGACTGAACCAGAGGTGCCCACCAAACCCAAGGGCAGTCACACCGTGGGAGGGACAGTGACATGGTAAGGCCTGGTGTGACATGGTTTGGAACTGGCACTAACTAATGAGAGACAGGACCAGGGAGGCAGAGGGTGGACTTGAGTAGGAAACACATGACGCTGGTGTGACGAGAAGCACACGTAATAAGGAAGGCTTGGGTAGAAGGAGAAGCCTGGAGAGAACTTGCAGAGAGAGAGAGACAGACAGACAGACAGAGCCCTGACATATTTCTGTTCCAATCCAACCCAAATGACTTGACAAAGACCTTTTATTCCCCGTTGAGTCTCTGCCCTTTACAACCAAGAAAGTCCAGCTTAAATATACCCACCATCTTCATGCACTGGGGCTGCTGTAACAGAATATTCTAGACTGGGTGGCTTATAAACTACAGAAATTGATTTCTCACAGTTCTGGAGGCTGGGAAGATCCAGGCACCAATAGATTTGATGCCCAGTGAGGGCCCGGGTCCTTGTGCACAGAGAGCTGTTTTCTCCTGGGTCCTCACATGGCGGAAGGGGCAGAGCAGCTCTCTGCGGTGTCTTCATAAGGGCACTGACCCCATCCACGAGGGTGGAGCCCTCGTGACCTGATCACCTCCCAAAGGCTCGACCTCCTCACACTGTTGCCTTGGGGGTTAGGGTCAGCGTATGAATTTGGGGGACACAAATACTCAGTTCATGGCACCCACCAAAAGAACACCCACAGTGTGAGGCCCCCCAGGAAGCGTCAGGGAGCAATAAAATCCAAACCTAAGATCTGCGAACTGGCTGGCAACATTTCCAGTATGGCTGAAACCATGGGGGGAGAAACCTACAAAAGAAGAATGAAAACTTTGAAATATCCAGAAAAACAATGGCACCCTTTAGAAATCTAAAGACACCTAAGTTAAGAACATTAAAGTGGACCATTCACTCTACTAACAAAGTTAACCACTTTATTAATGTCTCTATGCTACACATGAAAAGCTGAGGGTAAGAGTGGAAATTTCAACGTGAATGTTTTTTCACAAATCTTATTTTTCCATTTTCCTGTTGTTTTATTAGGTCCATTTTTAGTTTCTACTGTTGTTCATTTGTATTGGTCCTTTTTGTTTTCCATCAGTCTTGGCAAAGAACTGTCTATTTTAGTGGCCTTCATCAAACAAAAAAAGATTTTGGTTTTATGAATTAACTCTATTTTTTTGTTTTCTATTCAATTCATTTACACTTTCATCTTTAGTAATTCTTTTTGTTGATTGTCTTTGGTTTTATATTGTTGGTTTTTATCCAATTTCTTGAGTTTAAATCTTAGATTCTGTATTTTCCTACCTGGTCTTTTATAATTAATACATCTAAGGCTTTACATTATCTTTGAAGAGACACACTTCATATATTTTGATATATTATGCCCTCATATGATTCTAATAATGTGTAATTTCTATCCGGACTCCAATTCAATAATTATTGAGAGGACTATGTTATTTAAGTTACAGGTTTGCAGATTTTATTTTTGCCATCATTTTTTGTTGATTGTTTCTCATTTACGGCACTGTGGCCAGCCATGTGGCATTTAGGGACCATAGGAATCTTTAAAAATGTATTGATTTTTTATTTCTGACCTAATACATGGGCAGTTATGGGAATGCTCTATTTGTGTTTGAAAGGGATTCATATTCTCTGTTTGTTCAGTGCCTGCCATACATTTTCTATATCATCAGCCTTCTTAATCATATTACTTGAATCCTCTATATTCTTACTTGGTTGCCTTATTGGTCTGCCTGGTTGATCTGCTGAGAATTTAAAGTCTCTGGCTATAATATTATATTTATCTATATCTCCCAGTAGTACTATTGATTTTTACTTTATACATTTTCAAGTTTTTTGTTATAAGCATAATGATCTATAATTGTTATATATCATCTTAACAGGGAGTTCATTTCATCAACATAAAATACTCCTTTTTATATCGTTTGCTATTAATATTGCTATCCCTATTTTTATTTTAGTAGCCTTCCCTGATATATATCTTTACATCTTTCCTTTTCTTTTCAATATTCCTATTTGCTTTATATGTGTATCTTGTTAGAAAACTGCATGAAACCAGATTTTTAAAAATCCAATTTGAAAGGAATGTAATTCATTCAAAAGTATTGTGATTGCTGTTGTGTTTAGAGTTAGTCTAACAATGATGTGTGTGCATGTGTGTATTTCTCTGTATGTATTCTATTTATTATGCTTCCTTATTTGATTTTTACCCATTTTTCTGCCTTTTGGTAATTTATTTGAGCTGTCTTCATTTGATTCAATTTTTTCTAATATTTTGAAAGTTACACCCTAGATTTCCATTTTTCTAGTGTTTATCCTTAAAATTTTGTCAGCAGTCGCTTGCATTTCTATAACAATATCTACAAATAATCAGTATCTCCATTCACCCTTAGATCAAACTGAGAACAAACTAACTGCCTGTCACTCCCTCCTTCCCTCGCCACCTGAACTCTGCTGTCACCCATCATGGCATCTGAAACTTTGGTTCTGAATTGTTTTCACTTTTTAAATAGTTTTACAACAGACAATAAGTTTTACTAATACCTTTTCACTTTATTATATCTTCCTCCTAGATTTGTTTTTTTATATTGGGTTGCATGTAAGATGTTGAATTGCACGAGGTCCATCTCAATTTTATTCAGAAAATTTGGTGGAGAAAGAATTATGCAATTTTATCATACACACATTGGGAGTCATTTGAAAGTGTTTTAAAAGTAATTTCATGAAGGAAAATATAATATTTTGTTCATATTATCATTCAGAAAGAAGTTCGGCTTTATTTAACAAAAAGCACATAAGATATTTAGAAATATAGAAATGTATTTTTCTCACAAGTAAAAGGAAGCTCAGAGGCAATGAGTCCAAGGCTACTGTGAATTCTCTGTGATGTCCGGAATTCAGGCTTCCTCTATCTTGTTGCTTCACGGAACATGACTTCTGCTCCCAAAGTCACCTCATGGTTCAATATGGCTGCTAGAAATCCAGCCATTACATCTCTACCCCGGTGGCAGGAAGAAGGACAAAAAAGAAGGTCATCTTCACTCTTTTTTTTTTTTTTTTTTTTTTTTTTTGAGACAGAGTCTTGCTTTGTCACCCAGGCTTGAGTGAGTGCCGTGGCGTCACCTAGCTCACAGCCCTCAAACTCCTGGGCTCAAGCGATCCTCCTGCTCAGCTCCCGAGTAAGCTGGGACTACAGGCGTGCGCCACCATGCCTGGCGTTTTTTCTATATGTATTAGTGGCCAATTAATTCTTTTCTATTATAGGTAGAACGGGGTCTCGCTCTTGCTCAGGCTGGTTTCGATACTACCTGACCTCGAGCAATCGCCCACCTCGCCTCCCAGAGAGCTAGGATTACAGGCGTGAGCCACTGTGCCCAGCCATCTTCACTCTTTTAAGGAGACTTCCCAGAACACAATTATTCTCTTTATATTTATAGGCTATATCTACCTGCAAAGGAGGCTAAGAAATGAGATTTTTAAAAAACTGGTGGCTATGTACCTACATTAGAGCATATCACAGTGAAATTTAAGAATAGTAGTAATCAATAGAAGATCCTAAGAGCTTCCAGAGGGTAGAAAAAGATCACATTAAAAATAAAAGGTCACTGCCTATTGAAGTTAACTCAATAAAATAAATAAATTATAAATAAATAAAAGGTCACATTCAAATGATTCAGAATCAGAATATCTACAGCCATAGTGGAGGTAAAAGACACTCAGTATCTTCAACAGGCTATGGGACAGTGTTCTCCAATTTATAATTCTATATCCATCAAACCCACAAGTGCGAGGGTTTTTCATCTTTTGCAGGAAGCTACTGAATGATGCAGTTCATGAAAAGAGGATTAAACCAAGAAAAAAAAGAAAGATGTGGGATCCAGGAATCCAACCAGGAAAAAAGGGGAAGAAAAATCTCAGGATGACAGCTAAGAGAATAGTGAACACATTTGAACATATTGAAAAGAGATTTTCAGTTGTGTAGGAGAATTTAGGAATGGATTAGCAATTAGGTACTAACAGGTATATAAACTGAGCAAATAAAAATGAAAGCAAGTATCAATCAAGGGGGAAGAAAAAAGACTTATAATCATCGCACACAAATTGGCTTTAGCTGTGAATAATATTTATATGCTCATACTAATATAAACACCCAATAGTGAGTTTTACTAAAAATTATGATCTAGCTATCTTAGAGGATAGGGGAAGGGTAAATTATGTGTTTGGTGAGAGAACAAATGAGCATGTAAAAGACCTAAAATCTAATTCTCCATAGTTGAAAGTCAATTGATAATTCTTACAACTGAAAAATCAAGAAATAGCTAGCTATATAAGAAATTTAGAAATACAGAAGTAAATAGCAGATGAAAAAGCTAAGAGTTGAGAGGGTACTCTGCAGAGTGCAAATTTAGGATGCTTTTTATACATTACACACCCAATAACACTTTTTGTCTATATGATTTTAATAGTTTGCTAAATAATATAAATCAAATATATTTTTAAAACTATATTAATGCCAGGTAATTTGGGTTTACTTTTCCTTTGCTGGCAGGGAGGAGATGAGGGAAGGAAGGCATCTTACACACTGGCCAAATACAATAATTCTTCCAAAGAAGAATTGGAAGGCTGGTAAATGTTCTGAGTCCTTACTTGTGTGATATGGCTTCATTTTACCCTCACACTTGAATGATAATTTATGTTCAAAGCCATTTCCCCTCAGAGCTTTGAAAATATTGCTCCATTATTTCCTTGTATCCAATTTTGCTGATGAGAAATACAATATCTATCCAATTCTTGTTCCTACGTGTGGTGGGGTGCAGTGACTCCCCCAAAAAGACGTGTCCAAGTCCTAACTCCCAGCACCCGTGCGTGTGAACTTACTTGGAAAGAGGGTGCAAGCAGATGACATTAAGGATCTTGAGACGGGATCTTTTAGAGGGGGTCCTAAATTCAAAGACTGATGTCCTTGTAAGAGGAGGCAAAAACACACAGAGACACAGAGAAGAAGGCCACATGAAGTCAGGCAGCTGCAAGTCAAGGAATGCCGAGGTTGACAGGAGCCACAAGAGCCAGGACAGAGGCATGGAACAGACGCTCCCTCGGAGCCTCTAAGAGGAATCAACTCGGACAACACTTTAATTTCAGACTTCCAGCCTTCAGAACTATGGTCATTAAATTAATGTGGTTTTCAACCACCCAGTTTGTGATCCTTTGTTATGGCCCTAGGAAATAAATACAGTTGATCTTACAACATGGGTTTGAACTGTGTGGGTCCACTTATACGTGGATTTTCTTTCTCTTCTGCCACCCCAGAGACAGCAAGACCAGCCCCTCCTCCTCCTCCCCCTCCTCCTCCTCCTCCTCGTCCTCCTCCTCCTCCTCTGCCTCCTCAACCTGAAGAAGAGGAGGATGAAGACCTTTATAATGATCCACTTCCACTTAATGCATAGTAAATATATTTTCTCTTCTTTATGATTTTCTTAATAATATTTTCTTTTCTCTAGGTAATTTTATTGTAAGATACAGTATATAATACATATAACACAAAAAACATGTTGTGTGTATCATAAACATATCAATGGTTTGTGTTATCAGTAAGGCTTCTAGTCAACAGTAAGCTATTAGTAGTTAAGTTTTGGAGGAATTAAAAATGATACCCAGATTTTTGACTGTGCAAGAGGTCAGTGCCCCCCAAACCCTGCGTTGTTCAAAGGTTCGTACTGTTCTGTGTATGTAACTTTTTTTCTGTCCAAAAGCTTCTAGGATTTTCCCTTTATCTTTGGTGTTCTACAGTCTCACATGTCTATGCTTGTGTTTTGTTTTGTTTCGAAGGTCACACGTGGGCCCTTTAGATCTGAGGACTTATGTCTTTCTTTGATTCTGAAAAATTCTCTTCTGTTAATTTCTTTAGTGTTGTCTGTCCTCCATTACTTCCATTTTTATCCTTTTGGTACTTCTTATTCATATGTCCTTGGTGTTGATTAACTGTCCTGTTATACTTTCTATCTTCGTGGCTTTTACGTTGCATTCCTGGAGAAATTACTGCCTTGACCTTTGGCTATGGTTCTTTCTGCATCTATGCTCATTTGCAATTCAGTTCATCAATTTTGAGATTTTTTTTCAACTAACAAATTTTAATCTCCACAATCTCTAGTTAATTCTTACTGTATGGATTCAAAAGCATCCATGTCTTTCGGAGGCTATTAATTTTTCTTAAAGTCCCTTCTGCTTGCTCTATTACCTCTGTCCCCTCAGAGGTAAATTCCTTCATTCATTGATCTGGACACTTCTGCTTTCTGATGTCAGTTCTCCCCGAACATTTGGCAATTCTGGATTATTCCTTCATCTTCGAAGCTGAGCACAGGTGAATCTGAGTGCTCGGCCTGCTTGAAGGGAAGAGGTCCAACCATTGAGAGCAGAAGATGGGCATGGCCACACCCCGGCCACCGCAGACTGCATGATCCTCATTCGCTCTAAGACTTGCCAAGGCCCAGGAAATTCTCTGTTCAACACCAAACCTACCATACGCACCTGCCCCAGGTACCAACCCCTGTAGGGACCACCTGGCCTATGATGGAGGCAGTCTCTTAGGGGTCGCTCATGCTCCCCTATGTGACCCCCCAGCCAGTCGCCCAGTCTGCTGCCCTGGGACCCCTCCTCTCTCAGCACCAGCCACCTTCACCGCAGGACCCTCCTGGGGACCTGTCACTGTTGCCTCCTTGGTTGATCTGACCCCATCTGCCTTCCATCTTCCCTCCCAGGTTACAGCCCATCTTATCATTTTTAAGCAAGTACAGATATTTGTAAAAAGTCCTTTCTGTATTTCTATGGGGTTTTTTGTTTGGAGGGAAGGAGGTTGTCATGTGTCCTCAGAAAGCTGTTATCTGGTACCTTCTTCAGGCTTTCGTATTCCTTAATCAGGAGAGGAGCCCAGAACCATCTTCTGATTCTGACATCCACTGCTGTTAGCTGAGCTCCTGCAAGATGCCAGGCAATGCGCATGTGCCTCACCTTATCTACTACAGCACCCCATAAAGGTGGTAAGATTAATACCCCCATTTAACAGACGGGCAAACTGAGGCAGGTAGGGGTTACTTGTCTCTGATCACAGTACAGCTAGTCAGCTAGTCAGTGGTAGAAGTGGGATTTGAGCTGCTAAACTTCCTACAACGCACATGTCAGTCTCCAGCAAAGAGTCATTCAGCCCCGAGTCAGCAGTGCTAAGTACTGCCAGGGGACACCTGGGCCGCCCTCTGAAGCCTCTTCCAGCGCTGAGAGCCCACGGTGCTCTTCCAGAGCTGCCTCGTCAGTAATGTCAGCGGTGAGTGCAGAAGGCTGTCTGTGCCCAGAAGACCTGAGCGGCCGGGCTGGCCACCGTTGGGCGAGAATAGATTCCGAAGGTGACAGCCGTGAGCCTCTCCCACGCCAGAAAGCTCTGGGATTTTCTGCCCTGGGGCTCCCAGCCTCACCGACTCCAGACTCCACACAAGCCCCTTGGCACCATGCCCACGGTCACTGCGGGGACCCGTGAGATGGGCCGTAAAGACCCCGATATATTCAGTATGATGATGGCTGTAAAAAGAAAAAAAAAAAAGAAAAAGACCCCGATATGAATGCTGGGGTTTCTGCTCCGGTGTTTTCTTTCTCTCCATTTCAAACAGGTAGACTGGCTCTGTTCAGCTTCTTGGTCCCAGGGATCTTCGCAGGGTGGAGAGCAGAAAAGCCCTTCGACACTCAAGGACAGGGGTGCAGAAATGGCAGTACCTAAGGGGGACAACCAAAACTAGGGGGCACATGAAGTGGGGTACACCTGGGGGCCAGCCCCTCAACCTGGGGAATCCAGCCCCGCCAGAGAACGCAGGCCCCAAACAGGCCTCCACAGCTGGGGGACCAGGGGAGCCTCCCAGACGGCCACCGCAGCCCGGAGCTGGACACAGCAGACACGCTGCCCCGCCCCAGGGACTCCGGAGGGATCCGCTATGTTCCCGGTGACAG